GGCTGAGTCAACCTTGAGCCTGGTGAGAATTGAACTCACAGTAATTGCAGGCAGCTGGATGTTAAATGCTGCCTTAGTAGGAGGCGTAGGCATTAGCCTCCTACACCACTCAGGCTCCTCCGTTGCAATTAGAGAGATTATATGATCCTACAAAGAACATGGTTCTAAAGATTTGTGTATCAAAGACCAAGACTTTGATAGGAAAAATTGAGTGAATGATTGCAAATTATACATAAAAGCAAACAATTAAAGGAAGTACTATATGGTAGTTGAATTTGATACATAAATTTGATAGAATGTTTTCCAAAGATGGAAAAATGGATATAGATCAATTAAGATGTACAAATGCAGGTAGATAGTGAATAGCATTTGGTCTATTGTAAGAAATTGAATTGTTGAAACAAAATTTTTTTGTATAATGGATGTTTGTTATTCAGAAGTTAGAATCTATTTGGAAAACAAACAATTAAGTTGAATACAATGGGAATTCATTACTTAAGAAGTAGGTGTGTGGGGGGTCAAGAATGGATAATTAAATATTAAAGTTAGTTTAATATTTAAAGTTAGGATTAAATACAAAAGTTAGCTACTAATACAAAACATGTACTGTACACTGAAGTGATTTGGTCATATCAAGAGAGTGAATGAAGATGGGACAAAAGACAAATAAAGGAAGGAACAATGAATGGGTAGAGAGGAAGGGGAACATTGGGAAATTCATGGTTGAATAGAATTGATGAGAATTCTCAAAACAGGCAGGCAAGAAATTTGAAATATACAAGGCAATATCTGAATCATGTATGAATGGAGTACAATCTGGATGAAAATATATGAGGAGATTATAGGATTGTGTTGGCATAAATTAGATTTAATTGGAGTTTCTTTTCTCCTTCTCTTCCTCTTCCTTCCCTTCCCTTCTCCTCCCTTCCCTTTCTTTAGCAGTCTGCTTATTTGAAAAGAAATAGTATATATGTATTCTTTATTAAACTGGTTAGAAACAATTATTTATTTTCCTTTTTCAAAGAAGAGGCACCATAATCGCTTACTAATAATATATATGCTTTGCATAGACAACATCTCTGTTCCCAGCCTTTGAAAAGCATTTCTTACAAGTTGTTTATAAGTTGAGGAACTGCAGCCACCCAAAGATAATGATAGGGCTCATCATCTGATGACCCAGTCTTTTGCCCAAGTCCATTGGATACTAATACAAGGTGAGGTTGTTAACTTTGGGGCTCACAGCCATGGGTTTGGCAGTTGTGTTGCTCAGATTGTGAACTTAATTCTAAGTAGTTGGTTAAAATTGGCTACTATAGAATACCTTCAGCTAAGAAAAAATTACCTTCTTATAATGAATATGCAATACAGGTAGTCCTCTACTTACAACAGTTCATTTGGTGACCATTCAGAGTTTACAATGGCACTGGAAAAAAGTGACTTATGGCAATTTTTCACACTGATGACCATTGCAACATCCTCTTGTCACTTGATTTACATTTGGATGCTTGACATCTGGTTCATATTTATGATGGTTGCAGTGTCCTAGGGTCAGGTGACCATCTTTTGCAACCTTTTGACATGCAAAGTCAATGGGGAAGCCAGATTCATTTAACAACCGTGTTATCAATTTAACAACTTCAGTGATTCACTTAATAAATGTGGCAAGAAAAATCGTAAAATGGGACAAAACTCACTTAACAAAGTTCTCACTTAGCAACATAAATTTTGGACCCAATTGTGGTCATAAATCGAGGACTACCTGTATATTCCTTTTTCTTAATAGTCATTTCAAGGGTTATTTGTTTTTTAGAGGGGAGAGGAATACCATATGAGTTTCTGTTTTGACTTTGAAGCAATGACAGCACCTTGTACTCAATTCACACTATAGATTTGGGTTGAAGCTGGGCACATTTTGAACTCCTATAGTGGATATCCCCCCCCCCAAGATGTTTAAAATAATAGTGATAATAGTAATTATAATAGCAAATTTGTCTAAACTTTTTGTTTTGTCAGCTTCAGTTTACAATATGACTACCTAAAGCCTATTTTCCAGGTTCTTTTCTTTTTCCTCTTGATGTTCAACATCCGTTTCTGTTGGTGTCTGGTCAAATTGCCAATTAGTGTTTATTATTGTAGGCATTTTGTGCTTTGTGTTTGGTTGTGTGCTGTCTTTCAATCACTGGGCTTCGACCATCACTCATGTCATCCTGCACAAGCCACCCAACAGCTGTTAGATGACCTGAAGATGAAAGGCTTCTCCCCTGTAACCAATCCCTGGAGTCATACCATCCCCTTCCCCTCAATTACTCTATAAATCCTGATAGCAGCTGAACACACTGTAAAGCAGCATGGTAGCCTTCTTGTCTGCCTCCAGAGAGGAGCCACTGGGATGAACTATCTCAGCTGGTGCGGTGAAAATGCTATGATATGGTGGTTGCCTCTGCCCCCAGTCTGCTACAGAGGACAGGCCTCTGGAGAAGGAGTTAGCAGCATTCTGCTTGGAAAGCCTTTGCATTGCTGATATAAGCCAAACAGATGGCTGGTGGTCTTGCCTACAGTGATGTAGAAGTTGATTTATTTGTTATCAGAGCCCAGTCTACTATATAATAATGTAAAATTATGTATGATATTTTGCAGGAGAAGCAACATCCCCAGCCCCATATGTATACTTACATTTAACTCAGCCAACTAAACAAAACTACTGGAATGGGATGCTAACTATTTGCATCCAGTTAGGCATTACCAGTCAGGTATTCAGCTTATATTATCAAGGAGAGATCTGAATTCCTTCTCTTTATATTAGACCACAATCTACCACAATGTCTTTGGCCCTACGGTGAATTAACATGCTTAGCCCTAAGGTAAGAGGCAATTAAGGTGCTAACAGCTCAGTGATAATGGAATGGAATATGTGGGCTAGGGAAGATCGGTGCATATATTTATAGCAAATCAGAAAAACACAAGAGCATGAGCAAATCATCAAACCATTGTCCTAATTCCTCACATCAACAAATTTTTATAAAGAAGTTCAATTATATATGGGAAGAGAAATGCTCAATGATTAGGAAGATTTTTAAAAAGAGAAAATTTGAAAGCATGAAGACAGACTTCAGTAGAGGGTGGAAATTGACACAAGGAAATATAGTGAGAATAAATGTAAAGTACTAAATGGGAAGAAAAAATTAAATTAAGGAGCCTTGATAGTACAGTGGTCTAAAGCACCCTGTTATTAAGACCAGCTGCCTGCAATTACTGCAGGTTCGAATCTCGCCAGGCTCAAGGTTGACTCAGCCTTCCATCCTTTCTAAGGTAGGTAAAATTGAGGACCCAGTTTGTGGGGGCAATAAGCTGACTTTGTATAAATATACAAAAGTATGAAGGCTATTGCTTAACGCATTGTAAGCCGCTCTGAGTCTCCGGAGAAGGGCGGCATATAAATCAAATTTTTTTAAAAAAATTGCAAATATAGGACGGGAGATACATGAGTACATAGGAAAGGGATCTGAATGTCCTTATCAACTGAAAATTATACATGAGCTTGAACCAATGAATGTGCCAAACTTTATATGTGAGGTCAAAAACTTTTAAAACGTAAGATAGGGCAGGAGATGGGCAATGTTCTTGGGCTAAAGAGGCCAAAGACAGCAGTATGTGGGACCATGTCCCAAACCCTGGAGTTACCCTTTAACTTTGCTTCAGATAATTTTCTCCTCTTCTGATTTTCCTTTATTTATTCTGTCCACCCATTGATTGTTCACTGCTTGAGCCCATATACTTCTAATAACTGAATGCAAATGTAGCATTCTATTCCAATACTCTTAATAACTTGTTTGAATTGAAATCTAAGTATGTTTTCTAGGGAACAGTGATTATGTTTGCCCTGCAAAGCATTACGCATAATGTTACATTATTATATGAGCATTGGTTCCTAATTTTGTATTTTACTTAACATGTTACATAAACACACTGTACAATATAAAGAAATACACACATATATGTTAGAGCAAAGTTTTGAGTTTGAATCTAAGGAACACGCTAGGGAAAATTTGTTGGAGCAGAGTTTATTTTGGCAACATAACATGCAGAATAGCAATTGAAAGGTAGGCTACAGAGTAAACTCTGTTTGCGACTACAGGTTTGAGGTAATTACCTTTCTCTTGCTCCTCCTAGGAGTAGAACGCCCCCATCCCAGGAATTATTGCAAACTGCAATTAATTGGATGGCCAAAAGAGGATGCTCAGTGGTTACGCACCCTGCTGAACTTGCTAAATTTTCCCACTCATTACCATATCAACTGGCTTCCTGTTTAATTAACATTGCAACTGCAGGTGTAAGTTACAGGGAGGAAGGGAACTTTTTGTTTATTAATAGCTATGTTATCTGGTATTTACTTGAATGGTCTTGTAACATTTGGCCAATTTCATTGTCTTTGTGGATATAAAGGATTTCCATGTCCTGAGGGGATTTCTAGCGGTTTTGATTGAGATGTCTGCCAATCTCCTATCAGTTTCATTTAAAGTGTCAGACTTGGCTGAAAGACTCGCGTGGTTCTTTTTTTGTGTGACCTGGGGTTTCCTGGGATCAGACAGAGCCAAGATTAATGTGTGATTTGACTAGAAGATGCCATGAAGGTTTTTACCTTCTAACGGTACAATTCCATATATTTCTAATACATGAATCCATGAATATGTATACTTTTGGCTCTGCTTTTATTGATTCCCATTGCAGCAATGATATTTCGTAACATATACTATAAGCTTTCCCATGAAATCCTTTCTGTTCTTTAAACAGAACTTTGACTAATAAAAGGTGTCATATGTGACATTGTTAATAATATGGAAAACATAATATTCTTGTATCACATACAACTTGCTTCAGATAATAATGCAATGATTTTTTTTTTAAGCGCAGTTTAAAGGAAAAAGAAAAGAATATATTATTTAACCTTTATGGAACAAAGCAATCAGAATAATAAAAAAGTGTTTCTCCTTCGTACATACTTATTTTTGGTATAATTTTCTAAGGACTGAATTCATTTTCACAGCTCCTTTTGAATGCAGCTTTTCCTACAGGGTTTTAACTATTCGAAAGTTATGTGATAGCTCCACCATTTGACGTTTTTAAAAACTGTGACTGCCTGGTCCTTCCTTCCTTCCTTCCTTCTCTGAAACAAAGCAGTAATGAAAGATCATAAAGTATATGATCATAATATTATGCAATATCCATTTCTTGATTGAATTATGTTTCCATAATCTGAAACCCTTCAGATATGTTGGTTTTCAACTCCTAGGCTATCCTAACCATTCGAGCCATTAATTCTTCCTAATTAGGCAACAATAAGAATAATCAGTATTAGATTACACCCATTTCATTTGTAATTTCAGCATTTTAAACTATTTATAATATAAAATAAATATATGGTGATAGAAATAAAAACAGAGTATAGCAGCACTATAATATTCCATTAGATTTAATATTTTTATCTTCAAAACTATATTTAATATGGTTCTATGTTCAAATTCCTGGAACCAAATTGCAACATTTAAGTTAATACCAAATTGATGACAAATCCATTTAATTACCCCTTATCTTAGAACCAGAATATTTCCATATTATGACTGATTCCCCGCAGAAACACCTTCATGGCATGGGGGAAGGAGGCAAAGAGAAAAATAGTGATCAATTACTAAAGATCTTCCCCTTTTAAATGTTCAACATATATATATAAATACCAGGATCTTAATTGTATGGTTGCAATCACCATCTTAACCTCCTGATAACTCTTCTGAGAATACTCCAAATTTCCACTCTCCAACTCCAAAAGAAGCAGTTTGGGGGGGGGCAGGAAGAATGCATTATTTTCACTGTTGCCTATCTTGTAGTGTTGACAACATTGGAGGAATGGAGGGAATGAGAGAAATGGATAGATCGATTGATTAAAGTATACAACAGCTCATCTGATGAAAAGTTATTCAGAGCAGCATACACAATAGATAAAACAGAAAATATAAAAACAGCAAGTACAAATATAAAAATAAATATAATAAAAATCAAAAATACAAACCATAGATGAATAAAAAATGTTCCTCTTAATAATCGATCTATCTAGCTTAGTCTCCAATTCAATTATAATTAGATCTCTTTTAACTTTAACTTTATTTTTATCTGTTAGAGAAAAGTTATTTCTCAGTTGCTGTGCCTATTAATGGCATTTGGAATGGACAAGTAAATAAGCCAATCAGAAATGGGTTTGAAACGCCCTGGATTTTATATTCCCTCCCATAACTGTGACTGTGACAGTATAAAAGGAGATTCCTGACAGAAAACTATTGTCAGTTAGAAGTCAGTTATTAGTTAGTTAGTTGTCAGTTAGAGGGCAGCTCTGCAGTTCTAAATGTCAGTTAGATGGCAGTTAGAAGGCAGTCCAAAGGGCAGTTCAGAAGGCAGTTGGCAGTTTGGAGAGTTCTGTTCAGCTCTTCTGTTAGAAAACTGTGGGCAGTTTGGAAGTCAGTTAGAAGGGCATTTCTGATGCAGTTCTGATGGTTTACAAGACTATTTCTTCTGAGGAAGAATAGCCATAACTAACATCTCTTAGAGATATTATATCTATCTATCTATCTATCTATCTATCTATCTATCTATCTATCTATCTATATCTGACAGGATATTTAAGCAAAGTAATGAAATACTATTTAATATTTGAATATATATTCTTTTTATTTTTATGTGAATAAAAACATTTATTGTTAACTGCTAGTATGTCTCATTTGTTATAGTAGATTGTTATCAAGATAAGGTTTTATGGTACATTGATTTAACCTCTACAACATTATCCTACTTTTATTATTTTTATAAATAATCAAGGCAGTGAACATACTTAATATTCCATCCTACACCCCCCCCCCCACACACAAAACTCTATGAAGTGAGTTGGTCTGAGAAAGAGTGACTCACCCAAAGTCACCCAGCTGGCTTTCATGCCTAAGGAGGGACTAGAACTGATAGTCTCCTGGTTTCTAACCTGGTACTTTAACTATTAGATCAAACCAGCTTTCTTTTCTTCTTTTCTTCTTCTGTTTTTTTTTTAAATATTGAGATGGATGGGCCAATTTAATTGAGGAGGGGAGGAAATTCCATAAAGCAGAGAAAGGATATTTCCTGGGACCCACCAAATGTAGATTTCTAGCCAATGGTATACACAGCATGCCTTTTCTGAGTGTTCTAATGGGGCAGGCTGCTGTATGTGGGAAAATGCAGTCCCTCAGATAGCTCTCTGTGTCTCTAGAGATAACTAGTATTATCAGCATTAAGGTTATTTTTCCATGGTCTTTATGAATCTTTAAGAGTGGGTTACTTGTCTCTATGTGTTTATTAAAGATCAAAAAGAACCCATCAAGTTTTAAGTGTGTTTACATGACCAGAGGGAAACATAATTCCTTTCACTCAGAGCCTTGGTAGTCTAAAATGAGAAAAAAATTCCCAGACATCTCAGAAAATAGATGGGTTAACTTATATGTTCTAATTTCTATTTATTACTGTTTGATAAATATTTGTGTCAAATACAAGTATATGTCTCTTCTGGGATGTTATATGTCTCAGATAATTGTGGATGGGATGTACAAAATTCTGATGCCCAAAGAGTTTACTAACTAAAGTTTGACATAAAGAAAGAAAATGTAGGCTGCAGGAAATAAAGGTAGGAGTAAATAGAGAATATGCAGTAACTGCAAAACTTACTAATTGGCTTAGTTGCATTGGTGTGTGAGAATTAGGAAGCTGACTTAAAATTTCACAAAAACAGGCTTCTCGGAAATCTGAGGAAAGTTAAATCAACCAAGGAATACAGGGATTATATGAAAAGATTGTAGCCAACAGGAAGGCACAAATGTGATTGTTTTAATAGCAATAGCAATAGTACTTAGACTTATAAACCGCTTCACAGTGTTTTACAGCCCTCTCTAAGCGGTTTACAGAGTCAGCCTATTGCCCCCAACAATCTGGGTCCTCATTTTACTGACCTCGGAAGGATAGAAGGTTGAATCAACCTTGAGCCTGGTAAGATTCGATCTGCCAAACTGCTGGCAGTCAGCAGAGGTAGCCTGCAGTACTGCACTCTAACCACTGCATGACCATGGTTCCTACTATGTGAAGCTTTATTCTGTGCAGCTGTATGTCTAATTTTAATTTATAATATGATCTTGGTAATTATTATTTTCAAATAATTTATCAAAAAGGAATCTTTTTGATAAATTGAGCACATCTCTTATTTTTTTTCTTCGGATCTTAGAAGGTCCTAGAATTTCTGTTCTTTTCTCCGAGTCTTTTTGAGGTTTATCCCCAATAGATTGGTTAGAGTCAAAGGAAACAAATGTACATAATAAATAAAGTAAATGAATGAAAACAATTTGCTTAGTTATTAGTACTTTGTCTAGGAATGCAGCCTTTTAAACTTAAAAGCATAGTACAATTAAAAACAGATAGAAGAAGAGATTATTAAGAACAAGAATTTAGAGAAAATAGTTACACATTTCCAAATGTCACTAGTGAATCCAAATGCATTTCAGCAATGACCAAGTTAGAACATTTAATTAAGTAATTAAATAAACCAATCCTCGATTTCATGAGGCAGTAACTCAATTCCCAAGTGAATAAGTTATGAGACTGAAAGCTGAGTAGTTTATCAAAAGGAAATCTAATTACTGCTAGGGAGTAAGACAGATCAATGATATTACTGTTATAAGAAAAGGTGCACTTAACATAAAATAAGACAGTGTTTATAATAATTAAAAATGACTAACAATATAACATTTCCTGTTCTTTATTTCAAGCTTCCAGAATATATCATATAAAAGTCGCATACATCCTACCAATGTTTGATAAGTCAAAATCAACTACATAATACCATTTTTTAAATCACAGTATATGTAGTTTCCTCTACAGATACTAATGATTTATTTTGTATGTGTATGTTTTTTTTAACTTCATGGTTCCATCAAATATTATTCTATGTTTTCCATAATTTTGTTCCAATGAGATTTGGGTGATCGTTGCCCTTTTACTCTATAACAACACAATGAAGTAGTTGTTTTAGGATGAAAAACAGACTTTAATTCAAAACACCTTCCAGTTCTACAAGCCTGGAATAGAGATAATTGAAAAGGGTCTGTCTCTCAACTCAAGCATTAATTCCATGAATTGAGGAGTAGGTTGATGGATAGAATAATCTTGAATATCTTATAAATCCCCTAAAATCTTACAAGCTCCATCAGTTTCTCATTGTACAATATATACATACAATGTTATCAAAACTGTTTGGGGAAAGAGTTCTCTGCACAGGCATTTGGTCACAAAAATTAAGCCAAGATAATTTGGTAGAAAATTATTCTTGCAGTGGGAGAGGGGGAACAAAGTTTATGTCCCATGTAAAAACATCCCTCTTCAATAATTTCTGATTATTAGTGCTAAATTGAGTGCAGCAAATGAGTACTATCATTTCAATGACCTAGTATTTTACAAGCATTCTGAGGCTAAACTTTATGTTGAATGTGCATAACAATATAGCCAGAAAAGAGGGGGAAAAGGAGTGCAGGGTGCTTGTTTAGTCCCAAGGTCTTGTTCCCTACTGGCAGAAAAGTAACATTAGCCTCATATAATACTCACTACAACTTTGACAGTACACAGTGGTGCTGTTAGGGTTGAATGAGACCAAATTGATGCTAATATGCATTCTGTTGGTATCATATCCTCTTTCAGATTTCTAGGATTCTTGCAGTTATTCCTCTCTTTTCTCCCGTAGCCTTTGAAAAAACTTCTTTCTTCCAGAAGATTTCTTCTAAAGGAAAAAAGAAAAGGAAAATTCTGGCTTTTGTGTGTTCATGCATGACTGTGCATATGTCTGTATAACAATTGTAATTATTAATTTTAGGGACCCTTTTGCTTGCAGGCCCAAACTTGCACCTAAAAATCCAACCTATAAGGTGCCTTCCAACTTAGTTAATCTGTTAAGAACCTTATCCTAATCCTAATTTAGGAAGTTGCTTTATACCAAGTCAGACCATAGTCAGGATTGCCTGTATGTGAGGCACCTTGTATGTGAGTTCTAATCCTTTTCTTTGGAAACAATTCCACTGAGCTTGGAACTTTTACATTCATAGCCCAAAAGAGAATTGTTCATGTTCTGATTTTGTTTTCTAGATCAATGGTTCTTCTTGGGCTTGTCTTGGTTTCTGTAAATTGTCAAGATTTCACTCAGAAAGAATACTGATGTATTTTGCAAGCAAATTTAAATGTTTTTTTGCTCCACTGTCTGAAGAAATCTCTTTTGAGGGTTTTCAGAGGTCGATCATGAGCGGTAGCCTGGCTTAGACCAGAGCTGGGAAGAAACTAAAAAAAACTGTAGCCAAAGGTTGTAGTTTCTGCTGCTCACCACTGGATCTGTCGTCAATAAGAGACACTGGGGAGTCCATCTGGCCAGAAGGAGCTGGCTAATACATCAGTGCTATTAAATTGCACAACTGGACCATGAAGGAACTGTCTTGAGGAACTGTATTTTCATGTGAAGACTATATGTGATCAGATTCCCAAAATCTCTGTATCAGTTTGCCAAGACAGAAGTGCACCCATGACTCTACTTGCTTAGCATGCACTTTTTATATGCATCCATATCAGTTCATATTCTGCTTGTTGAAAAATGTGTAACAACGAGATGAGAGGTTATAACTATGTATACAGTTGAATCTAAACAGTTGAAACAATTTAGAATGGCCAGAGGGATCCTTGATAACCAATAACTGCTCTCTGGAAAATATCTGAGTGTAAACGTTATGTTCCTTCTTACTGAAACACTTGAACTCTGGTTTGAAAATGTTGTGATCTTCTGCAAGGGGGCATGAGAACATCATAATGGAAGCATACATTTTATAGATGAGCAAAAAAGTACAAGAAATGTTTCATATCATACTGTGTTTTATACCCTATTTCAACTTAGCATTAATTTCAAATGCCAAGCTGACAACTAAAGACTAAAAGCAGGATTGGTAGACTGCCAAGAATAGCACGGAGCAGATTTTGGAAACCAGTTTCTAACTGTGTATAAATAATGTATAAACCATAACAATCTTCTATCAAGAAGCAAATTGTCTGACACCTTGGTGTGCTCATCTGCTTCATCATTCTGTTTGTCAAAAATCTACATACAGGTTCTAGTTTATGACACCTATTTCAAGATGAACAA